AATGAAAACGCGCTGCAAATTAAAAAAACACACGCAAAAGAAAAAGCAGAAACAAAATGAAAATGTCTCTAGGGGCCACCGTAGAGATCAGAACAGGAGTTTGCTGCTTTGAAAATGCTTACATTTCTAACTCTGCCTCACGACCAATTCATAACTTGCAGTAACCCAAATTTGGATCACAACGCATCGGTTGAGAATCGCTGCTCTAGGGGAGGGTCACTCTGCTATCATTCCCATTACGGGCACATAGCCAGGATTCATGTCATTTACTGAATGGGGATGAGGAGCTCAGATTGAATTGTGTTTCAGTACAGAGTAAGGCTGTGCAATGAATCCAATTTTTTAATTCGATTTAGGCTCCAAATGATCACAAAAACAATGTAGGCCTAATCGACAAAAAACGATTACTGTTAAAATCATTTTGCCACATTACCCTCTGCAAGTATAATCTTATTTTGTCTTGCGTTCCGAATGACACGCGCACTTCCGCCCCTTCCGAACATTAAACTCACGAGTGTATTATGGTGGTGGCGGTGTAAAAATATGGCACGACTACAAATGGCAGGAGGAGAGGAGCAGCAGCAGCGTTTAATCAGCAAGAACGGTAAAGTTTACTGGAGTGGGAACGCTTTGGATTTAAAGACACAGACGTGGATCAAAAACATATTACAGTACAATCCTGCCATAACGGACTTTAAGGGACCTGGAAAAACAGTCCATTATATCCAAGGTCCGTTATATTCGCTGTATGCCCAGAACACAACTACAGGATGCCATTTACTCATGCCACACCTGAGCAGACACACTTGTGGTATAGAGCATGTAGGTATTGTGCATGTAGTAATCCAACTTTACCTGACTGTTGGAAGCAGGGGCGTAGCACAAAATTATGGCCCCCATACACAAGCAGTGTCCCTGCCCCCCCTGCCTGGTCACAGAATATTGCAGTTAACAATGCTGAAAGTGCCCTTTAATCTAGGCTAGGCTACAACAAAGCTTTTAAATACAAGTTTGGTTCTCTAACCATACATTAACCAATTTCTTTATGGCCTAATAAGTTATAATCAAACAAGACTTGACTAATATTTTATTTGCAGAATGATTAAGACAAGACAATGGTTTCCTTAAGAGCTAGACATTACAGTAAATGTCACCAAAGGTAGCCTAACATATCATATACATAAACATTGTGTTTTTTTATCATTACGCTGAAGAGAACATTACTTTAAGCTTTTATCAAGTATTTATTATATATTAAAAAATGCCATTTCAAAATGCTTAATTTATATTGAAAGATAAACAAAACTTGACTCACCAGTCATTTTACATTCAAAGAAGGGCAAAAAGAAAAGAAGCTAAAACATGATTTTAGTGTTGCTAAACACATTACAGTATAAACAGCTAAAATGATGTGCTTTCATTTTAAACTACAGTATAGGCTTACCTTGTCTTAAGTCCACAGTATCAGATGATGAGGGGTCTGTTGCTGCATCACCCTCTGTGACAGTTTCTGAAACTGATGAGTTCCATATACAGTGGTACCTCAGAACTCGAATTTAATCTGTTCAGGACTCAGGTTTGAATCCTAAAAAGTTTGAGTTCTGATCGAATTTTCCCCATAAGAAATATTGGAAAACCAATTAATTGGTTCCCGGCCCCCAAAAAATTACACCTAAATATGTTTTTTTTAGCATTTAAACACAAAATGAACAGGATAAAACAAGAAGAGCATATACTGTACTAAACACATCTAAGCGCATTTATCAAAACTAATTTAGTAAGAAAATAAATGTATCCAAACAATGTGTAAAGTAAAAAAAAAAACAAGGTGTCCTGCCCCAATCGTTCGCTCCTTCCGTGTGCCACGTATTCCCTGATACCCCTGACGTCTGCGCCTTTGTCTCCATTCCGTGCCCGCTCGGCAAGACAATGTCATTATAATTAAATGTATTAATGGTTTATTATTAATGATATTAAAATAATTAATAAGAAATCTTTATTTTTAATGGGTAGAGAGACGTCCCCGCCTCCACGAGTCTCGGGCAGACAGAGCTCGTCAGCCATGGCAGGCTGTCCGTCTAGGAGAAGGGAAAACTCTGAATCTTCTGAATCACAGCAACCATGCCCCTGCCAGGGTTACCAGCCTCACTGCCTTGTGGGTATCTCCAGGAGGAGAGAAGGCTATGGGAGTAAACCCAGACAGAAAATCCAGAGAGGCATCCTTAAGGCAGTCTGGTGGTAAACTCTGCCATCATTCTGGCAACTCCTGCAGCCAAAAGGTTGCCAGTTGTGACGTCTTTACGTACCACTGGATCCCGACGCTGGAGGCCAAGAGAGTGGGATCGTCCCTGTGCAACGACCCTCCCACTTAAAAGCTCAAACGCACAGGTTGTGCCACAACTCCTCACAAGTCCTGCGGCGAGGGGCAAAGCTACAGGTAGCGGTTACTACTGGGAGCCGTAGTCTCAAACCTGCACGTAGGCGGTCGGTGGACCAGTGGTCGCTCTCTCTCCTCGAAGCGGGGCAGCGAGGAAGTTCAGCAGCATCCCAGGCGACTGAGCAGCCCTTTTCAGGTGATAGCACTGCTCACCCTAGCAAGGGAAGGGACTAGAAAAGGTGTCCTAAACAAATGCCTGCCCTACACACTAACTGGCCAGCAAGCCGCGGCTGGCAGTTAACCCTTGAATGCGGTCGAAAACAAGGACAGAAAAAACTTATTCTAGGCGCATGGAATGTGCACACCCTTATAGATAGAGATGATACGATGCAGCGAGACCACAAAGAAGGACAGCCCTCATTGCACGGGAATTATCTTGCTACTGGATTGACATTGCTGCTCTTAGTGAGACCAGACTTGCTGATGAAGGGTCGATCTGCAAACCCCAGGGTGGATACACCTTCTTCTGGAAAGGAAAAGCTGAGAACGAGGACAGAATTCATGCAGTGGGCTTTGCCATCCGCACTACACTCCTGCAGCAGCTCCCAAACTTGCCCACAGGCATCAATGAGCGCCTCGTGAAGTTCCGCTTCTCCTTAGCGCCTTCATGTCACGTCGCCATCATCAGCGTCTACACCCCCACCCTTCAGAGCCGTGAGGAAGACAAGGAAGCGTTCTATGAGAGCCTGAATTCCCTTGTGAAGGACACTCCGGCAAGCGACAAGCTGATCATACTCGGTGACTTCAATGCCCGAGTTGGACATGACCGTGAAAGCTGGGAGGTAGTGCTAGGTGCCCATGGTGTGGGGAACATGAACAGCAATGGGTTGCTTCTCCTGTCGAGGTGTGCAGAGAACAGTCTCACAATCACCAACAACCTCTTCAGGATGGTCAACAAGTACAAGACCACATGTATGCATCCAAGGTCCAAGCAGTGGCATATTATTGACTATGTCATTGTCCGCAGGCAGGATGTACGTGAGGTCTGAGTTACTAGGGCCTTGCGTGGAGCTGAGTGCTGGATGGACCACCGGCTGGTTAGGACTGTGCTCAGCATCCACATCACACCAACATATCGCAAGAAGTCATCTCCCTGCTCTCCATTGCTGGCAAGATTCTTGCACGTGTCCTCCTGAACTGCCTCATCAGCGCTATATCAGAGGACAACTTGCCAGAAGCACAGTGTGGTTTCAGACCAGGATGCAGTACTGTCAACATGGTCTTCACAGTGAGACAGGTCCAGGAAAAATGCATTGAGCTGAACATGGACCGCTACGCTGTCTTCATTGATCTGACAAAGGCCTTTGACACAGTCATCAGAGAAGCGCTGTGGACCATCCTCGCCAAGCTCGGCTGCCCCAGAAAGTTCATCCAGCTCATCCGTCTCTTCCATGATGGCATGGTGACACTTCGGAACCGTTCGCAATATCCAATGGCGTCAAACAGGGCTGTGTTCTAGCTCCGGTCCTGTTCAACCTGTTCTTCACCTGTGTCCTCAAGCATGCTGTGCGGGACCTTAAGAAGGGTGTATACCTGAGGTATAGATTAGATGGCTCATTCTTCGACCTCCATAGGCTGAACGCCAAGTCCAAGACTCTCGAACGGCTTATCCTCGAGGCCCTGTTTGCTGATGACTGTGCTCTCCTGGCACACTCAGAGTCTGACCTCCAAACCATTGTCACGAGGTTCGCCGAAGCTGCTCGTCTGTTTGGCCTTACCATCAGCCTCAACAAGACGGAAGTCCTCCATCAACCTGCTCCAGGATCCCCAGCCATTCCCCCCATCATCTGCATTGACGGCACTCAGTTGAAGGTCATCGATCAGTTCAAGTACCTGGGGAGCATCATCTCCTCAGATGGGTCGCTCGACAAGGAGATAGCAGCTCGTATCAGCAAAGCCAGTCAGTCCCTGGGCCATTTGCGCTCTCGTGTGATGAACCACAAGAACATTATGTTGACCACCAAGATCAAGGTATACAAGGCAGTTGTACTCACCAGCCTCCTTTATGGATGTGAGACTTGGACGCCTTACAGAAGACACCTGAAGCAGCTTGAACGCTTCCACACGAGGGCTCTTCAATCCATCATGGGCATCAGATGGCAGGACAGGGTCATCAACCTGGAGGTTCTCGACCGAGCTGGCCTCTGCAGCGTGGAGGCCATGATCCTCAAGGCACAGCTGCGTTGGACAGGCCACGTGATCCGCATGGATAGCTCCCGCATTCCTCGCCAGGTCTTCTATGGGGCACTGACTCAAGGCCACAGAAACACAGGGCGTCCAAAAAAGCGCTACAAAGACTATATCAAGGACAGCCTGAAATACTGTGGCATTCCAGCAAAGGAGCTTGAAGCATGTGCTGCTGACATAATCAAGTGGTGCAGCACAACACACGTGGCCCACACTGCCTTCGAATCCAGCAGAAGAGAGCAGATAACCAACGCCAGGGAACGCAGAAAAGCCTCGAAAGCAACGGCCCCCACCTCTGCTGCTTCCTTCCAATGCCCTCACTATCCTCGAGTGGGTACATCAGGAATTGGCCTCATCAGCCACACTCAGGCCCACCAACAGAGACAGCACAACCCTTGACATCTTCGGAAACGATGGTCAACCCGAGATGAGATATGTATTCAGCTAGTGTAAACATGCACGATACTCTCACAGCGAATGCGAGGCTGAGACTGAAGAGTTACCCTTTGTTTCCACTGAGAGACGTGCCGTGTGACTCATTTCCCCGCATGTGCAAGTTACCATAGGTCGGATTTCACGGTTCAACTTCTGAGATTCAGATCGAGTTCTAGGTCATTTTTTTTCTAACTGATTGGTTCGACTTTTAAGAAATTCGAGTTCTAATGAGTTTGAGAACCGAGGTACCACTGTAAATAGGTTTTTGATCTGCAAATGCTTAGCGCAAAAGTAGAGAACACTCAACTAATGCAAGAGGCCAAAACATAGATGCTGAATTAAAAATTCACTAATCAGGTTTGTATAATAGGCATTGATTGGTGTAAATTGCATAGTGTACTGCATGCTTGATCATTAGCGTTAATTTAAACCTATACTTGATATAGGGTCACGAGCTGGCAATGTAAAAACTGGGTCGCGGTGCAAATAAGGTTGAGAATCACTACCCTATAACACATTTGTTTTGTTTTTCTGTGTCTTTCACTTGTTATTTTGGCAAAATGACAGTTTTGCTGTTTTACTTCCTCAATGATCTCTTTGTACCATGAACCGTGGTACAAGTGTTACACAAACTGATAATACATAATATTAACTACATATACTGTGATGCTGAAAATGTGAATTCAGTTGGTTGTTTTCCCCACAGGTGCTGACAGTGTGTCCTCAGTGGGATCAGTGTCTGTACATAGAGGAGGATCTGTCACCATCCCATGTTTCTATGAAGGCAGATATGAATCTCATGTGAAATACTGGTGCAGAGGGAATGACTGGAGTTCATGTACAACCATAGTACGCAGTGACTCTCCACAGACGAAGGATGAAGTGTCAATCAGAGATGATCCTGACCAGCGAGTCTTCACTGTGACTATGAACAATCTGAAACCTGGGGTCTCTGATTACTACTGGTGTTGTGTGGAAATTAGAGCAGCTCCAGATGTTGGAGAACAAGTTTACCTGTCAGTCACTGAGGGTAAGATGTCTGTACTGCAGACTGTAGCCAATGAGATGCACAGAATGTAATATGTCACTCAGAGTCAATGATGGTTTTTAAAACCATCAGGAACGTTTTTGGGGTGACATTGAGACCTTTTCAGCTTTTCAGGTAGTAGCGAGTGCGCAAAACAGCCCAAGCTAGCGACTCCCAAATCATTGATTTGCTTTTTTCCTATTACTCACGTTGCAAGTAATTGCGTGCACTTTGTTTAGTGTGATTTTCCACTTTGAACTTGAACTTTGTGAGTTTGATTTAAATGTAATCAAGTCCGACATTCACACCACTCTTACCCTGTAGGAGAATCTGGCTGCCCTGGAA